AAGACCCAATGGCTCGACAAGATCAACTCAGAACTTACTTTACATTTCAAAGAGACTCAAAAGGAGTGGCTCACCACTGGCTGTACTATCATCGCCCAGGCTTGGACAGACAACAAATCACGAGCGCTCATCAACTTCTTCGTCTCTTCACCTTCCCGATCCTTTTTTCACAAGTCCGTCGACGCCTCCTCCTACTTCAAGAACACTAAATTCCTTGCTGATTTATTTGATTCTGTTATTCAAGATTTTGGGCAAGACCATATAGTGCAAATCATTATGGACAATAACTTCACCTACACAGGTATCTCAAGCCACCTCTTGCAAAACCATGCAAGCATTTTCGTGTCCCCTTGTGCATCTCACTGTTTGAACATGATACTAGAAGATTTCTCCAAGGTGGATTGGGTCAACCGATGTATCTCGCAAGCGCAGGTGATATCTAAGTTCGTCTACAACAATAGCTCCTTGCTAGATTTGATGAACAAGTTTACAGGTGGGCAAGATATTATCAGAAGCGGTGTCACAAGGCCCGTCTCCAGTTTTCTATCATTACAGTCAATGTTGAAGCAGAAAGCAAGGCTCAAACAAATGTTTAATAGCCCTGACTACTCCACGCACGCTAATAAACCACAGAGCATGTCATGTGTGGGTATCCTCGAGGATAATGATTTCTGGAGAGCTGTGGAAGAAAGTGTGGCTGTTTCCGAGCCTATCCTCAAAGTGTTGAGGGAAGTTTCTGGTGGAAAGCCTGTTGTAGGATCTATATACGAGTTAATGTCGAGGGCCAAGGAGTCAATACGGACATACTACATCATGGATGAGAATAAGCATAAGGTCTTTTCTGACATCGTTGATACAAACTGGTGTGACCATTTGCATTCACCTCTTCATGCAGCTGCTGCATTCTTGAACCCCAGTATTCAGTATAACCCGGAGATAAAGTTCCTTACTTCTTTGAAAGAAGATTTTTTCAAGGTTTTGGAGAAACTTCTTCCCACTAGTGATCTACGGCGTGATATTACAACTCAGATAATCACTTTCACTAGGGCAAAAGCAATGTTCGGGTGTAATCTGGCGATGGAGGCGAGGGATACAGTATCACCAGGTACGGACAATAAATCATCAACTCAATTTTTAGTCAAATTCCAAGGGGGTTATTATTCGTAACCTGAAATGTTCATACAAGGTTTTTAAACCAACCTGACTAGTGAACGGAGATTCAGAGTCAATAGAAAAATTATCCTAATGTAGTGTGTGACCGCAATAAAAGGTATAATCATAACACACAAGTAAATAAGTCCAGATTGATATAGCCTGGTACATACTAGTTAAAATTGCAAAGCTTTTAGATATCTTCCCTCAACAAGCTAGCCTTAGGGTTATCATCCATCCATGGCAGATGATTCGGATGCAGTGTGGTTTTGGTTCTTGTAAATATTGGCATCATAGCACTAAAAGTTGATGTCTAATGATGGTGTGTAAAGTAATGCAGGCCTCTGGTGGGAGCAGTTTGGTGACTCAGCACCCGTGTTGCAGCGTGTGGCTATCAGGATACTGAGTCAAGTTTGCAGCGGTTACAACTTGGAACGCCAATGGAGCACATTCCAGCAGATGCACTGGGAAAGGCGAAACAAGATTGACAGAGAGTTGCTGAACAAGTTGGCGCACGTGAATCAGAATCTCAAGTTGGGGAGAATGATAAGCTTGGAGACTGACCCGATTGCCGTGGAGGACATGGACATGATGTCGGAGTGGGTGGAAGAGGCAGAGAATCCCAGTCCTGCCCAGTGGCTCGACCGGTTTGGATCCTCCTTTGATGGAGGCGACTTGAACACGAGGCAGTTTGGCGGTGCTATTTTCAGTGCAAATGACCATAACATCTTTGGCTTGTGAAGTCTCATTCTCATAGCATAGGTAAGAGCCTTTTCTTCATGACTTGTTGGTCTGGCATCGGATAAAATGTTGTATGTAACATAAAATGATAAAATGTTCTGAAACTAGTCGAAAGCTAATTGCGTTTTTATTCGTAAACTAATCGCCATATTCAGAAAGCCCATTGGGTTATTGGGCCCTAAAAATAAAAGGAAAAAGGGTCTGACCGGAGCTTTAAATCCTACTAATTAGTCTTTTCTTCGTTCGTTCGTTCAGGGAAGAAATCGAACTGAGATCAGAGATAATGGCGTCGTACCGGCCGCCGCATCCTCCTCCGCCGTCTCACAATCCTTTACCCCCTCCGCCTCCTCCGCCGTCGTTACCCCCTCCGGTTCCGCCTCCACCGCCCTCGCATCAACCCTACTCTTATCCTCCGCCGCCGCATGCTTACTATCAGCACTATCCTCCTCAATTCAACCAGCCTCCGCA